CTGGAACTGGTGTAAGCCTCTTTATGAACATGACAGTTACACAGCAGATTTTTTTTTTCAAACTGAAAACCGGAAAAAAAGACTGAGAAAATGGAGGTGGATGAAAAAAGCTCCAATTGCGCAATTTAGACTTTTAGTGCTAAGTAATGACGTGCATGCTAAGTGCTGAAGTAATGACGGGCGAAACAGTGTTAACGATCTGATCTGTGAAAACTTGCTTTCCATTAAACTTTTCGAGACAGTTTAAATTAATTGAGAATCTTCAGCGTAGAAACTCGAAAAAGTGTTGTCAAATACGTGGATTTTTTGTTCAAATATTCTAGAGATCGTTTGCAAAAATCTGCATTTCTCTTAAAAATTTACAACTTTTTCTTAAATTTTTTCCAGATACCATGCATACAACGTTAAGTGAATTGAAATACGTATAAATAACAGAAAGGATAAAAATAAGACATATACATATTCGAAAAATTTGATTAAATTGAAATAAAAGCTAGAAAGTGTACACTTCGTCCCGAAGTTCCTTGCTATAAGAGTTGAATTGACATTTTACAGAGGAATTTTGGAAAATTTAAAAATTTACTATATTTTTTTGCATCTCTTATCTTACACAGTTATCTTTTTCCATCAAACCCACACGTTTTTCATCGTTTTTCTCAACTTTTTCAAAATTTGCAACTTTTTCTATACTGATTCTGCGTCAAGACTGAACGTTTAAATCCATGCTTTCAACAACGGACCGTTGGTAAATATAGTACGTAGTATAGAACTTATTATATACGTTGGAAAAACATAGTGTGAAAATAACCGCTCGTCCGTTACGGTTCACGAACAAATCTTGTTTTATTTAACTTTGTATATTCTCCGGGTGTTCTCGTCACAAAAAAAAAAAAACAACAATGATAAAAAAAGCGCACCATTCTTCTTTTTCTCTTGGGTTGGATTCGAGCTTTTAAAATCAATCTATATAAATTTTGAATGTTATTAAGAGCACTCTCACCTCCTGGTTCGACTCTTTCATTTGATTTCGACCATTTCACAACATCATATCGATGTAGCTCGGGCTTCGTATTCCACCAATTTTGATTGTTTTAACGCTGGCTATTCCGAACTTCCGAATCGTTCGAACTTCGATAAGCTCGGCGTCCGGCCGCGGTCAGGACTCGCAACCTGTGAACCTGTTCTGCTCTCTTTTGAAGACACTTATTCATCATTACGTCACGTCATTTACGTAACTTACGTTCAACCGCCGCCGCTGTCTTGTTTACCGTATACTAGTAAAATCCGAGCTACACGCAGTAGTGCACGTTTTCAGATCGATCGAAATCATAGAAGTAGTGATGTACTTCCGTGCTACGGAAGAACGCCGTATGAGCCTATAGACGTTGGCAAATTTTCGTTGATAAAATATGAATTTCTGGGGAAATCTGTGAATATATTTTCCCCAAATTTTCTAATAATTTTATCCGTGACCAGATCTAACTTACCTGCGAGTTGCAAGGGAAAATATTAAAAAATCTCCTCAAAAAAATAAACATTTTATCGGAGGAAATGTGACAACTCTCGAATTCTCATACGTCGTTTTTCCTTAAGACGGCAGTGTAGTACGTATAATTTTAAGGTAAAATCGAAGTGTGCTACCTTTAAATCAAATCCTCAATGCATCTATGGACCGATGTTTTGCAAGAAAGAGCCAAGGTTTCTTTTTTTGTGCGGAATGCTTAAAAACGCATATTTCTTACGCAGATATTGTGTAATAGGGGGTGTATTTCAGACTTTCCCAATGTACCCATCGTGAGTTTTGAGTCATTTTCTATGATCCTAAGTTTGCATCAGGCCCAGGCTAAGTTTGATTACGAATACAGTAAGATCAAAACCAAAACTTGGTTATTTGGAACGACGACAGGGCAACATGGGATGACGAGCTGAATGACCAGGAATCCACGGCCGAATCCCCGTAGAGGGGTGGTTGCGGAAAGACGAGGTCGTCCAGCTCACACCTGTCATCGCAAGTAGAAGCGAGGGACTTTGATTGTGATGATCGAAATAATATCGCCTCAAACAGCAAGCGCAGTTGCGCCCGACAGATCCTCCACTGCGTGACGTCGGTAGCGCCGTTCCTTTGTCCGTCGAACGTGTGAAAGTTGCCGAGCTTTTGAGACTTGGCCGACACCACTAAAAAAAGCTCTGTGCGAATCGGTCGTGTTTAATCTGTCATCAGCTCCTCCGCACAGGTGGGTAGGATAATCGCCGATCCGTTGCAGTGGATCGATCCGTGTCTGTTTCGTTGTGCAGCACCTGCGAAATCAGACGTGGCTTCGAATTAAAAGTGCATTCGAAATTTGACGTGCGGCTAACAGAGAGGCCTGCTTGTGAGCGCTCTTAAGTTTGTGCAATGCAGTTGATTGCACTTTTGACCTACGAGATGATTTGGTTTACATTTTGCAATATGGAACCACTATCTCTGGCTCTCCCAAAAATAAAAGCACATATCTGCATAGGGGAACTAATGACACGTATGTTGTTTCTACAGGGTGTCTCACGAAAAACGAGCCACCTTGAATATCTGCCGAACGCGTCGGAATTTCGAAAAACGGTAAAAGACGTGTTCGTTTATATCGAGGGGGACAC